GTGGTAGAATATAAAACAAAACCATTTTGTGCTTATAACCTGGGACAGCAAACCACGCTCTCCCACCAGACTGTTGGCCAGGCATTGTGTGCCTGTAACACAGGGATGATTATACAGAACTGCCTTTCTAGCACTTCAAAATTTCTAATCCAAGTCTGTAAATATCAGGTTACACCATGCAGTCCGTACGCAGGTGTAGTACTTACACAGCTTGAGGTGGTAGGAAAAGCACAGGTCTACCAACATCAACGCATCTTCATTAAGGAGCTCTTGTTTTTGAATTCAGATAATCCAGAGTGGAATAACACCCATACAGCTTTACAAGCATCGCCTGTAGGATCCCCGGTGTCCTCTGATGTGATACCCTGCTTAGGAACCTCCACTCCATCCACTGCCTGGCCCAGCTTAGCTCATGGCTTTCATGGAGCTTGGAGCCCAGCTGTGACGCCTCCCAATCACACTGCACTGCAACCTCTCCTTCTCCATGTCTCCTGCAGGGAACTGCATGAGTGAGTTCATGGGGCTCATCAAAGGCCACTACGAAGCAAAGGAGGAAGGCTTCCAGCCTGGAGGGGCCAGCTTGCACAGCATGATGACTCCTCACGGGCCAGATGCTGACTGTTTCGAGAAGGCGAGCAAAGCCAGGCTGGAGCCTGAGAGGGTTGCAGAAGGGACCATGGTAAGGTGCCAAGTGACCCAGTAAGATTTTGAATACAGCATGGCATAGTGCCGCTGTGCCACTCTCAAAGTACAGCCTAGCTTCTTGATGGCAAGTTGGAAAACTACTTGGACCAAACTGCTGCAGCATTCACCTACCTTACCGCTCAGCACCATTCAGCTCCCAGGAGCTCCCCTGGAGACATGCAATGCCAGGCAGCTTTGATCACCTGCCCACATAAATTGTTGCCTGAGCAGGAAGCTGGGAATTTTCATGCTGATTAATTTAATTTTTGTCTTAGCCTATGGATAAAGAAACAAATCCCCTGACTGTCCTCCTTTTTCCACCCCCTAAAATCTAATGATGATCATCAACAGACCTTGGACTAGAGCTTTTGAAACAACCTGGCTTTCCTGGGCATGCAGGGAGTCCAAAGTCACTCCTGAGACCAGCATTGCAATGCCAGCTCTGAGGAGCTTTCTCCCCATGGGTTCACCAGGCTGGAAGCAGAACTTGGCAGTGCTGGACCATGTGTACAACTCATGTTTGTAGCAGAGCACAGCCACCTTGCCTGGACTTAAACTCTTGCTCTCTTGCCCTAACCTACCCTCCCTCTCACCAACAGGCCTTCATGTTCGAATCGTCCCTCAGTCTCGCTGTCACCAAGTGGGGCCTCCAGACCTCCAACTGCCTAGATAAAAACTACTACAAGTGCTGGGAACCTCTGAAAAGCCATTTCAACCCTAAGTGCAAGTAAAGAGAAGAATTTGTTGCTTGCAATATGCGAGTGAAGGCGGGGAAATCCAGCGTACCTACGTGTGGTGGCACAGTCGACTCAGGCAACGCAGTGTTCCAGCACAGAATGGCATTTCCAGCAGCCACCGAGCTGCGAAAATGATCATCCCTATGTAACTTGGGAAATGCAGTAAAAAACCACCATTATTCTTAACTTTGAAGTATTCAATTAAAGCTTTCCTGGCGACACGCAGAAGCTGAAACACTTGCGTTGCTCTCACCACGTGTAGTTGGTGTGAATGCTGTACCTTGTGTGGACACGAGGTGACAGCCAGTCCCCATTCAGATGGTCTCCTGAAAATACAACCCTGTGTGTCTTTCCTAGGGAGAAACTATGGATCAACAAAGCATTTTATGCTGTCTGTAGGGGAACAGCTTTACAAGCAGAGCTGAAGGCTCTACCAGACTTAAGCCTCCTGTTAGAGCAGGCCACTTCGACCTGCTGAGCTGTAGAAGGTTGCCAAGGAAAGACTCGACTGTCAGAAAAGTAGACCACAAATTAGAAAAGGCTGGAAAATCCAAAGTGTTTCACTGCTAAATGAGGGAAAGTTTCCTTTCCAACCCCACACTCTGGCCATCCTTCAACATCGACTTTTTTGTCAGCACTTGACAAATTCTCTCCCTAGTTAAGTGCTAATCTGCAGCACAGCAAAGGCAATGGGGCTTGTCCAGCCAGTCCAGGCGTTTGTTCCTGGGAAGGTACGTGGAAGAAAGTTCAAGTGCAGACAACATCGTGGAGGACCTCAAAATTCATTGGAGTAAGCAAGCCTTACCCCCGGGTGGTGAGTTCCACAGGGTGGAGGCAGAAAGCAAAGCCCCAGGCAGGGTGGGAACCAGGAGCACAGCCCAGGCACCCCAAACCTCAGGCCTGCACTTTAGCAGGTACCCACATGAAAGTTACTAAGCTTGGTGCCATCAGGATCTCTGTTCCTTACTTCCCAAGAGAAGCAATCTTCAATTTTCCGAAAGAGAAAGAAACATAGAGCTGTGACACCTAAATTCAGTCAGTTACATCCATCATCGGTTTTGGATCTGCACCAGATCCTTGGGGAAAAAAAGCATCAGCTTTGAACAAAGTATTACATTATAAAATCTACAGGGAGATGTTTACTCTAAAATAGCCAGCTCAGAAAAGGACATTCAGGAGAATCAATTTGCCAGAGAAGCTGATTTAATCGGACTGATCCAGGGATAAATGAGGTCTAAGGGTTTCAAAGACAGAGGCCAAAAGCTTATTTTCTGTTTGGGACCTAAATTATCATCCAGTGACCTGCAGGCTTGAGCTTCTCTTGCTACAGACTCATCACTGAGGCAGACACGGGTGGTAACACATCAGTCAAGGGTAAAATTCCACGAGGCACATTTACTCGCCTGTCCTCACCCTACATTTCTGAAGGGAAACTTCCCTTTCCTTGCTCTATGCACCCAGCACCACTGCCTCAAACCACCAACCCCACCTCCAGTAGCACAGCACGTTCGCTCGTTGCAAGAAAACAGCTTGGGGAGTTCTGCAAGTAACCAGAGAGAAAAGTAGGGCAGCCTTTCCCCAAGCACCACGCTCAAACCTGCGGGGACGCAGCATCAGACACTCTCGCCTGCAAAGGAGAGGGCTGTAGCAGGTGCCGCGAGCATCCATCCAAGCCTGGCCTAAAAGACCAGCGGCGCTGCGCCCATCTGCAGCCCACCCCAACCCTTTGCTCAGCTGCCCTGAAACAAACACAGCTGCGAGGGAGAATTTACATGTGTGGCAACTCAAGTTCCAATTAGCTGAGGAAATGGGTCCTGGGAGATCAAATTAGTTTGTGGCAGCAGGAAGAAATTTAATTCAGCACGCGCAGACAAGCAATTATTTCGTGCCCTAAATGCCACTTTCTCCATGCATTGATGCCTCTCTGCACTGACCCACAGACGTATCTTGTAATATCATTTGTGGCAGTCTTTTAGAAACCGTTCTGCAGAGGGAGTAATCTGGGTTTGCTTTAGTTAAGCTAGCAGAAGAACGAGCCACAGAGAAGGTGCAAGAGGGGGATTGCAAACACAGGCCATGGCCTTGCACAGCTCCTGCACACTGTGTTAATGCCCAGCTCCCCACAGCCTGAACACGCCATGACCCAGACAGGAAAGGGAAGAGCTACAATAGGGAACACTAAAAAAAACCAAAAAACAAAACAAAACAAACCCCCTCAGGAATCACATTTTTACCATGAGGGTGACCAAGCAGTGGCACAAGTTGCCCTGAGAGGTTGTGGAGTCTCCATCCTGGGAGATACTCAAAAGGCAGCTGAATGTGGTCCTGGACAACTTGCTCAAGGTGGCCCTGCTCATGGCCCTGCTTGAGTAGGGGGTTGGGCCAGGTGACCACCACAGGTCCCTTCCAACCTCAGCCATTCTTCGACTATATGAAAAAGCTCATCAAGACACTCTGATGGAGAGGGACTGCAAACAGCCCACATTTACATTCTAATCATGAAGGAAAGGGACGTGGCAGGGCTGCTTTTGCTGACTTCACGTAGGCAGCTTTCCCAGCAGGCAGAGGGACGTTTTCACCTTGTGCATCAGACTGAGCTTTTGGCATTGACCTCAACATTTGGGAAGAAAATGCTCCCATACCATGTCTGAAGAATGAGGGTTGTTTGGATCATGATGGCACCTACAGGCCATACGAAAATTCAAGTCTGAATTAAAAATCTTTTCCTTACGCTCACATTTCAGTACTTTGACAGTAACAATTCCAGAGCCCCCTGTATCAGTTGACCTGGCCAGAAAAGACTTGGGTTCTTAGAAGAATAAGCAGAGAAGGCATCTTTGCAGGCACAAGGTTCAAGCTACACTTGGTGTTTTTTTCTTTACTCACAGCCCATCTGCAGGGGTGAAACGGAATTCTCCTATACTGTAAGGGAATCAGTGTCAAAAACAAAAATCCTTCTCGTCTCCCACTCACAGGAATCACAGAATTAGTGGAAATGCGAGTCAGATACAGCATGGCAATGTTCAGCTCACTATTTCCAAGTCTGGTGTGGTAATTTTATCTAGAAGTTTACTGCAATAAATAAATACATGGTTTAGGCTTGTATTATTAGAGAAAAGAAAATTTAACTCATCTTAATGAGAGCAGTCAGGCAGACTCCTAAAGTTATCAAAAATGTATCACAGAACTTGCCTGTTATGCCACTAGGGCAAACTACACAGTCAAACCGTGGCCAGGAAGAAATACCTTGTGGTTCTTCAGGAAACTGCTTTGGGCTTGCTTAACATTTTAGCCTACCACTAGTTTTAGACTACAGCCTGTGCTGCTCTGACAGCAGCACTTCCCTGGTTTAAAAGGAGCCTCTGTATGCAGAGCAAAGGAGGGCACTGGCTGAGTTCAGGACACCCTCTCCATATCTATCTCTGCTAAAAGATCCTGCATTTTTGCATTCTCCATAATTGTTAAAGATGCAAGACAATCAACGAGCAATTAAGATTTATTCTTATTAAGGAGAAACGTCAGCACACCATACATCTTATTTTATTTGTATCCCAAGAACAGCACTGCAATTCCAGGAACTTAAAATACACTGAACGGTCGCTCGTATTTACCTTCTTGGATAAGCTTCTCTTTACGATCCTGTGGAAGAAAGAGAACATTCATCGTTATCCTATTAAAGTTTCAATCAGCCTGGGATGAGAGTAAAGCAATCCTAGTACTTCAGCATGGACTATACGAAGATGGCACCACACAGGGTCTTAAGAGTCTTTTCCAACCTAAATGATTCTATAAGCACAAACTCTGCTAACAGCCGTTGTGGTTAAGACGTAAAAAAGAACCAGGCATCTGGCTTCACCTACCAGTTAGGGAAGCTGTGCTCAGATTGACCTCTCTGCACACCTACCCGCTCTCACAGGCCAGCAGAGACCAATTCCTGTGATGCATTTTTCACCAAACCAGTTGCATCACAGTTAATTCACACATTTAGTTTCTGCCTCCTCCTTCTGGCTGAATAATCCAATTTAGAGATCTAATTATGGAGAAACTTCGTAATAACTTGCCTAAATGTGGCTGTATTCGCTTTCAGCTCATTTGCATCTCACTCTGCAGTCATGTACCTTTCTCATAGGTATTGTCACCATACACAGACACTGCAGATATTGCCCAGATTCCTTCTGCTGGATAAAAGCAGATGACTTGCTTAAGACTCAACAATTTATCTTTTGCTTTCCCAGACACACAACAAACACTCTTCAGAGAAAAAGAGGGTAATAGTCATTGTGTTTTCTATACTACCAGAAAACAAAAGAAAAACCCCCAAACATCAGTAAGGGAACTGGAATAAAGGAAAACAAATTATCCTGGAGACTATATTAAAGACTTCAGCTTAAATATTCTGGGGCAAGTATGTCACTCATATAGGTTTATTTTCAAGCACTCACGTGCTGAGACACACTTGGTGGCTAAGTCTAAGCGCAGCTTCACGTCCAAAACCAAACCAGCATGACATAATACTGCACAGATGCTTAAGTCTCAAAAAAATTTGTACCAATACGCTCAGCATGTTTCCTAACACCTGTATTTTTGATTCATCGCAGTCAACAGCAAATAGTCTATTAATTGATGTTTGTGCTTCCCAGTTTACGACTTGATCTAAAAATGCTCCTTTTGTGCAAAAGAGGGAAAAGTGTTTTACAATAGTCGCAAATTCACTACGAAAAACTGCCACTGTTTGCCAGCCACCTAGCATTTTATTAGGTATGGATACAGCTGAGTATTTTCAGAACGATCTACTGTTGCTCAGATTCCGACGCCCACATTTCAGGAGCTAGAACAGAAGCAAGATAAATCTTCCACAATCTTAAATGCCCAGCCGAGATCAGGCACTGCAGGCAGCATAAGTACTCCTCCCCATTTGCTTTATGAGATTAGACAAATGGTCAAGCAATTTGCAGAGATGTTACTAGGTCTGTCATCCATAAGCTCCCTATTCATTTATTTTAGAAAGCACAGTTGCTGCATATCAACAGCTGAAAATAATAGTCCCTTATGATTAGTTTACACTGTCAGCGCCACAGAGAGCTTCATCATAGCAAAATATCCGGAAACTGTGACCGGCCATACCCAAGGGTAGAACACAGGACTCTGAGCACAACAGGACTTTGCAAACAGTTTTGAGGCTTTGAGATAGCAGGCAGGCTCAGCATCAGCCTTCCTTCCCTCATTACTTAACTGGTGTTAATCAATCTCAGATGCAAGAGGATCCTACCAATCCAGTTTCCAGGCAGCTCTACATTTTACAATGTGGCATTCCCTGACGTTCAGCGTTGCCAACTGACTTACCCTGTCAGCCTTGAAGACAGCAATCCAGAAAAGGATAGGGCCTACTGCAAACAGAGCTCCCAGAAAGGACGTCTTGGGCGTCGGGCGGAAAGTAGGGTAGACGTTCTGCGTCCTAGCATAGGCCCAGCGGAGCAAGGCAGGATCTTCCTGGGTTGGAAAAAGCCCCACAGTGAGGACCCAGGGCCCCGCAGCTGCCCCCGGACTCGGCGCGGCCCCGTCCGCCCCCGCC